GGGCTGGCTGGCCTTTTGTTTATCCTAGTTTATGTTTATCTTTATTTGTTTGTGTTCTATTTAAGTAGGGGTATTAGAGTAACTCCTACTCCTACTCTTGTAAGGAGATTAATCTATATAATATCTAAGATCTAATGGGGCGGCATATCAATTAGACCGAACCCCTTCTTTCTTTCTTCTTCTCTTTCTCTTCTTCTCTTCATAGTCTAGCTGTTTTTCTTTCTTCTTTCTTCTTGAATTATATTAGAACACAGGTCCTTTTATTCGAGTCATTTATTTCCAAAGTTGTTTAAGGGAATTAACTTGTCTAGTCTTCATTGTGCGTCATGTGAGTTATCAAAACATTGTAGAAGCACTTATCCTATAAGTAATAAGAGATCCACTTTTCCTTTTCATATTGTGCACTCTGATGTGTGGGGGGCATACCACTTGCCTTCTATGGGTGGTTATCGATATTTTATCTTGTTCATTGACGATTTTTCTCAGTATACTTGGTTATTTTTATGAGATCTCGTGACGAAGTTCCCAAGCTTGTAAGACAATTTCATGAATTTGTTCTTACCTAATTTGATACAAGAATTAAGATATTTAGGTCTGATAATGCAAAACAATACTTTGAGAAAAACCTAACCTCTTATCTCACTAACTTTGGGGTCATCCACCAAAGCTCTTGTGTTCGTACTCTAGAACAAAATGAAGTAGCTGAAAGGAAGAACATTCACATAGTTGAAGTTGTAAGAAGCATTTTGTTTGCCTCACATGTTCCTACAAAGTTTTGGGGGGATGTTGTTCTCACTACAACATACCTAATCAATCATATGCCATCCAGAGTTTTGGGCTTTAAGTTTCCTTTTAATCTTCTTTATCCAGATAAGGATTTTTTTTTCTCTTTCCCTTCATGTCTTTGGCTACACTTGTTATGTTCACATTTCTAGTACCTAGAGACATAAATTTGAACCAAAGTCCCATAAGTGCATTTTTCTTTGTTATGCCTCCACACAGAAGGGTTATTGTTGTTTTGATCCTAGTAGTGGGACTCGTTATGTCTCAATGGATGTCACTTTTGCTAAGTCCACTCCTTTCTATGGTTCATCTCAGGGGGAGCATCGTTCTCAAGGGGAGTATTTGTCACAGTTGTTTGCACTCTCCCTTCTCATTCCTATCGAGTCTTCTTTACTTGAGTTTTTTTCTGTTGAGTGATTGAGTCCAGGAGGGAACAATCATCTCCGGATGCCTTCACTATTCATGTTCCTCCTCCATTGCCTCCTCGTCCTCTTTCTACTCATAGGTGGTACCAATGGCAAAAGACTAGAAGTGAGCAGTTTGTTTCCTCTACACCACATGAACCTCCTACACTTTCAGTTGCTAAAGAAACAACAGGTATTAAGGTCACACCCTTGCAACCTCCCTTCCCAGACCTTGATGTCCCTATTGCCATAAGGAAAGGTAAATGGAGTGTACTGCATATTGCATTTCTAAGCATCTTTCCTATGACCTTTCTCTTTCATATTATTCCTTTCTTTCCTCTGTTGCTTCTAACCCTATACCTAGGTCTGTATCAGACTCTGTACAAGAATGACACATGGGAAGTGGTTGATTTGCCTAAAGGAAAGGAGCCAGTGGGCTGTAAATGGGTGTATACCATCAAATATTATGTTGATGTCTCTATTGAGAGATACAAAGCTCGATTGGTTGCAAAAGGCTATATATAGACTTATGGGATTGACTACCTAGAGATTTTTGCCCCTGTTGCGAAGATGACCTCTATGAGGGTCCTACTATCTTTGGCAATTCATTCAGATTGGCCCCTCTATCAGCTAAACGTGAAAAATGCCTTCTTGAATGGAGAATTACATGAAGAGGTTTATATGTCTCTCCCACCAGGGATGTATGGCACAAACATGGAGGGTAAGGTGTGTAAGCTGAAGAAGTCTCTATATGGGATCAAACAATCACCTAAAGATCGGTTTGAAAGGTTTAGGGCTGCTCTTGTTAAATTTGGTTATGCACAAGCTCCATCTGACCATACCCTCTTTGTAAAGAGGAGAGGTTCATTGGTGGTATATCTTATAGTCTATGTGGATGACATTGTAGTGACTGACATTGATGTGACAGGGATTGATAACCTTAAATCCTTCCTTCACGTAGAGTTTGAGATCAAAGACTTAGGGGAATTGAGGTATTTCTTAGGTATTGAAGTGGCTCGGTCTAAAGATGGAATCTTTATTTCTCAACGCAAGTATGTGCTAGACTTGCTCACTGAAACAGGTAAAACGGGTGCACGACCAGTGGCTACACCTATTGATATGAGTCACAAGTTTTCTACCTCTGATGGACAACTTTTGGAGGATAAGGGAGTGTTTCAAATGTTACTAGGGAAACTGCTATTATCTTTGTATGACTCACCCTAACATTGCATATGTTGTTAGCTGCATTAGCCAGTTCATGTATGCTCCCAGAGATACACATATGGCAGTAACAGAGAGGATTTTATGTTACTTGAAGAGCACTTTGGGGAAGGGTATCCTTTTTGCTAAACATGGTCATATGAAACTAGAGGCCTATATAGATGCTGACTAGGCAGGCAACACTGATGATAGGAGGTCAACTTCGGGATACTGTAGTATGGTGGCAGGCAATATTGTTTCTTGGAGAAGCAAGCAACAATCTATGGTTGCTAGATCTTCAGATGAGGCAGAGCACAGAGCTACGGCTCATGGAGTTACTGAGTTACTTTGGTTTCGATCCCTGATGGAGGAATTAGGTGTTTAGTATGATAGACCACTGATACTGTATTGTGACAATCAAGCTGCCATTAACATTGCCCATAATCCTATGCAACACGATAGAACTAAACACATTGGAGTTGACAGGCGTTTCATCAAAGAAAGAGTGGCTTCTGGAGAAGTTTGTCTACCTTTCATTGCATCTGAAGAACAATTAGCTGACATTCTTACCAAAGGAGTCTCCAAGGCCAAGCTACAACATGATACAGGCAAGCTGGGCATGATTGACATCTATGATCAGCTTAAGGGGGAGCGTAGAGAAGATGGGCCGAATGGCCCATACCCCGCAGTTGTTATTTCTTCTTTATTCTTCTGTTCTGTTTTGTTAATGGGCCTGTTAACATCAGTTTTATTTTGTTTAATTAGCTGGCCACCCAATTAAGGGCTTACTTGTAATTGCTGAAAATTAGTGATTAATTTTTAAGTGAAAGGATTAGGGAAGGAGGGATCGTACAAACAACTCTTCTCCTCACCCTTCTCACAACTGAACTCTTCTCTCTTCTTCTTCTTCTTCTTTCTGCTACTATCTCCTTTGTTTTTTCCCTTTTTTTAAATCAGTTTTCTTATTCTTTTGGGACTGTTTTTCTTCTTATTTCTAGGTGGTTGTCTGATGCTGTGGCTCAAGATATGGCTTTGTTAAGTTCTGATGCTCATTTCGCAGCCCCTGTTGAGCAAGGGCCTTAGTTTTAGTTTTAGCTTGTTTCTTTCTTCTATTTGGTCTTTGAATAGGTGTTTGTTGTGTTGTTCCTTAATGAATCATTTTCTACCAAAAAAAAAAAAAAAGACCTGATACGACATGGTGGTGACCTAGGTTGATTGGTTTAAGTAATTTAAGACCCTACTAGCATGTCTTGGGTCCTCTTTAATGAGCTTATCATTGTATTTTTTTCCTCCAAATTCTGCCATACTTTAAAAATACTTCTAAAAGTTAAAGGTAATCCTATATCTTCTATGAAGCAATCACTAATTTCTTGGTTTCTAGATAGATGGGCATCCATAATACATCTGCCAATTTCTTATGGGTGCTATTCCCACATGACCCATGTTTGTAACCATCTCTAACATTCATTTGAGTTAATGGCTTGTGGTGATTTTTCATTCAACATGACTTGTGCCAATTTCTTCTTTCATGATTCTTGCTTCTCTTATTACCTAGGCTTAAATCTATTCAACTAATGGTAAATTCTCATTGCTGATTTTCTCAAATTTCTTTGCACTTAAGATGATGTCACCTTGCTTCTACAAAACTACAATATCACAGGCGCTTATCTTTTCTTATTGGATAAGCTTATAACTATTTAGCCAATGGTAATTTCTTATAGCTGGTTTTCTGGTACTCCTTCCAACATGACCTATCTTTGTAACTACTGTTTGCTTGATTAATGATTACTTCACATGCCTGAAGTAGTGTAGTTATTTTCTCATTTCTACTGCTTAGCTAAATGCGATATTGCATTAGTGATTTTCTGCAATCCCTTTGTAGTTCAAGTGATTTCTCATTCTTCCCATCGAACAAAATGGTGGTAGTTGCTCATTGATTTTTTTCCAAGTAATCTTTCTCTTTTCATTTATTTACTTTGATCAGCTATCTCCTTGTCTCTTTAGTCATAACACACTTTTCTTTGATATCTCTTGACCATGTTTGTAACTAGTTATTTACTTTAGTGAAGTTTATTAGTTACACCCAAGGTTCTAAATATCGATACGCCGGTAGGGGCGTATCGGGCAGTATTGGTACTGTTTTTTTTTTGTTTGTTTTTTTTTTCAAATCCGGTTCAGGGGGCCAGTTTAAGGTTCCTCCACCCCCCTGAACCGGTCAAACCCCGATACACCCTCTGTAGGGGCGTATCAGGGTGCTCCCGATATGGCCCGATACATAAAGATTTTTTGAACCTTGGTTACACCCATAGAAAATGAACAATAGAGAAGAATCAAAATTATAAGTTTCTTTTTTTGCAAAATGTATTGACTAAACTTCATTACTGATTGTTTCAGATGCATCAAGTGATTTCTCATGTATTTCCACAAATAGAAACTATTAGCAAACAAGCTTAACAATAGGCTACCAGTTTTTTTGGTTCCATTAATCTCCTATATTTCATGTGATTCTAACTGCTTCCATATTTCTTGATCCTCTTATTGCCTAAGCTTATATTTGGTCTACTAATGTAGATATCTCAATGCTGATTTTCTCAAATTCTTTTGCACTTTCAGTGGTTTCTCATTGCTCATATTCAATTAGAAATCTCTTTGGTTCTACTCAGTTAATGGTGATTTCTAATTGGTCTCTCTTTATGATTCCTTCGCAATTGAAGTGATTTCCAATCGAGTTGGTTAACTTCTCTAAATGAATAAGCTTACATCAATTCAACTAATGGTAATTTCTCATTGATGACTTATAGTGGTCCATTCTTGATGGTCTAAGGATTGCCAATAGACTCATTAAATCCTTGGCAGTTGAAGGTAATTCTAGATTCAAGAGGTTTCCTCTCAGTTGAATTGGAGCTTCAGATGGATCCCCCATGACTTAAATCAAGCAGCAGTTGGGTTAGCAAAATTAGGTATGGGAAGGGATATTTTGTACAGATCAAATACAATGACTAATTAATTGCTTGGCCCTTGCTTTTTTGTTTCTTCAGGCCCATATGTACATTCTCTCTCTCTCTCTCTCTCTCTCTCTCTCGTGTACGAGCTATATTTTTCCAAAAAAAGTCATAAGTAACTTTCTAGAATTTCAAGACATAATATTTCGGTTTAAAATTATACAAATAATAACATCATATTCCTAATCTTACCATTTGTTTAAAATATTACATTCTAGCTGTTATTTTTCTTCAATTATATTCGTCTCATTGTCTTCTTCATATACACAGATGCTCAACAGTTATTAGCAAAGATTGAAAGGCCGGAGAGGAGACTCCACTCTCCAGCAAGATGGAAATGGAATGGAACAGATCCTGATCAAAGAAATTCAATATTTGCGTTCCTTTAGTATTAGTTGTTTTGTCCTGTATGTAAATAGAAAAGAGAAGTATATAACTTACCATGTCGCCAATATGGCGAATAGGAACTGATGTGGATTAGCCAGGCCCAGCCCACTAACGTCTGATAGTGTCAGCCACAGTAGGGGGGAAGTCCTGCCTTCGTACGGAGCCAACCGCAAGACGGTCAAACGTACCCGCTAGGGCCTGCCACCTAACCTCATATGGCCCTCATCTGGTGCGTTCATCTTCACCTACTTCCAGCCCGTTCGAGTATAAATAAGAGGTGACTCCCCCTTAATGGGGGACCAGAACTTGGGATTCTAACATATCTCCCTCATTTACTTTTCGCACCTACCTTCATTCCTTAGCATTTATTCTTGGAGACCCGTGTATCCGAGGACTGTCACTAAGAACCTTGTCTGCACCCCCTCCTACTTTACACCTCGTATTGACTTGAGCGTCGGAACCTCTGCTTTGGGTTTTGACCTGAGGCCTTCGACACTTCCTGTTTTGCAGTACCTTGGATCTCCAAGAACCTTGCCACCGGAGTGACGACTTATAGCCCTCGGCTTCTACGGTCATCGGAAGGAATACCTCGCCTCGGCTAACCTCTTCCGAGGCCTCGAAGTCTTTGGCCTATCCTCGGAATTTGGAGAGTGAATTTACCTCGTTGCCCCCGGCAAATCCGTGTGGCAATAATTGGCGTCGTCTGTGGGAAACGTTGCTAAGATGACCCCCTTTTTAAGATAAAGAACATACTTTGACTCCAAGCCCTCCTAAGCTCGAAAGCCATGGTGCGGAGAACCAGGAATAAATAGAACCTGGTCACCTATAAACAGTTTCAGGCTGTCCTCGATCGTTTGGACCACCTTACTCAACGTATGGAAGAAGTCTGCCCCTGAGCAGGGGGTCCCTCTCGAGGCGACCGCCCCACTGGGGTGTCAGAGGATCAGGGTTGACACGAGCATGTCAAGCCACCAGCCCTCGGCTAGGGGCAACAACTCGCTGGTTGAGCCATCGGAGTCAGGCAACAACAATCCCCCCAATTCACCACGAAGGAACATCTGTCCTAACCGAAGGGAAAATGTGCCCGCTCAATCCGAAGACAATCACCATCCTTTGGAGCAACACCACTGTCATCGAAGGGAGGTCCTTAGGGATGATGACAGGCATCTCAGTCGTCTCGAAGTTTGCTCCCAAGGCGAGAGCCGACGCCACACCACTCCACCTGTCTTGGAGTACTTGGGAGTCCGAGCTGATGCCCACCAAGTCCATGAAGACAAAAGCAGGGCCCACGCCCCCGCTGACCCAGGGATTGCTGAGTTGCGAGCCAAGATCGGGGCCGTCAAGGACGAGCTCCGCCAAGTTAAAGAGAGACAAGCCGACACCTCAACCAGTCACAACAACTCCACTGGCCACACGGACGCATTCACCCCGGAAATCATTTCGGAACCTCTCTCCCCACACTTCAAGGCTCCTACTTTGGAGATGCACGATTTCTTAGACCTGGACGACCACCTAAAGAGTTTCCGAGTGCTCATGATACTTTATGGGTATTCCGACGCCTTGATGTGATGCACTTTCAAGGCCACCTTAAAGGGGGCAACGCGCCGCTGGTTCTCCAACCTCCCCCCGAGGTCAATTAGTTCTTGGGAGCAGTTTGCCAATATGTTTCTCGCCCACTTCATTAGAAACAGGCGATGCCAGAAGAGTGTCGTCTCATTCATGTCCATCAAGGTTTGGGTCCGGGAGGAGTTGAGTGGCATATATTAGCTATAGGTTGTGGCTCAAGCCGACGACTTCTTGTTATCTTTGCTGTCATCAGCGCGTCGATCTTTGTTCTTCCTTTTCTTTTCGGAGGGCCCGCCGTTGCATTCGGTTTCCTTGTCCTAGTGGTCCCCAGCAGAAGCCTCCTCAGCCTTAATGCACTTTTGGGCCTTTTTCAGGAATTCTAGCTTTGTCTTCGATGGGGTCTTAGCGACTGAACACTTAAGGGCGGAGCCAGCTCAGAGTCTGCTGATGGCGTTGTGCATTGATACCATGGGGTCAAGGTCCCTGACCTCGACCCCAAGAACTAATGAAGCGAGGAGAAGTTTGTAAAGTGGCCAGAAAAGATGAAGAGAAACCCCAAGAGCGGGAACCCTAAAAAGTACTACAAGTTTCATCGCGGTGTGGGCCACGATACCGAGGACTGCTACGAGTTAAAGAACGAGATAAAGTCCCTCATCCATCATGGACACCTGAAGCAGTATGTTGGAGGCGAAGTCGGCGCTTCGTCCTCCCAGCAGCAATAGCAACACCAATAGGTCATTGGAGTCATCGACGTCATCGTCAGGGGCTCGGCCTCAGGGGGAGCCTCGTCCTCGGCCCGCAAGGGCTACGCCAGGCAGTTGAGCATCCGAGGGCCAGCCCCCAAGAGGCCAAAGCAGCACGATGACCTCTCTTTCACGAACGAGGACCTAAATGGGATGGGATCATGGTCCCCTATGATGATGTGTTGGTAATTTTGGCCGTAGTGGAAAACTTCCTAGTTAAGAGGATTATCGTCGATAGTGGCTCCTCGACAAACATCCTCTTCTATGAAGCTTTTGAAAAGATGAAAATAGAGCCAGGGCACCTTCAACCTGTCAATGTCCCGCTTGTCGGCTTTTCTGGCAATATTGTTAAACTAGAAGGAAAGATCACCCTACCAGTCACGATAGGAACCAAGCCTCAATAGGTGACGAGGATGATGAAGTTCCTTGTCATGAGGATCGGCTCCCCTACAATGCAATCATGGGGAGGCCGGCACTTCATGCACTGTGAACCGCCATGTCTTCCTACCACCTTGCCCTCAAATTCCTAAACGAGCACGGCATCGGAGTCGTTCGGGGGGATCAGTATGTTGCCTGCCAATGCTATATGGTGGCGCTGAAAGGCAAGAACAAAGAAGCCTTGCCATTGGAGGGCCTTGACCTCAGGAAAGAACCAACGAACCAAAGCCAGCCGACAAAGGACCTCGTCTCAGTTCCCCTAGACGAGGACGAGCCCGAGAAGACTGTCCGTGTCAAGTCCAACCTTCCCCCACAAAGCCTATCCGAGCTGGTAAGTTTCCTCAAAACTAATGCCGACTTCTTCGCTTGGTCCTCCAGTGACATGCTTGGAATTGACCCTTCAATCATTTCTCACAGGCTGAGCGTGGACCCGAGCTCTTGGCCAAATCGACAGAATAAGAGGAACTTTGCAATGGAGCGATGGAAGGCCATAGGAGATGAGGTTGGCAAGCTACTCAATGCCGGATTCATCCGAGAGGTATACTATCCTATCTGTCAAATGTGGTTTTGGTTAAGAAAGCTAATGGGAAATGGCGAATCTGTATTGACTTCATAGACCTTAACCGAGTCTGTCTCAATGAAAGTTTTCCCTTACCAAGGATAGACCACATTGTCGATGCCACTGCAAGATATGGACTGCTTAGATTTATGGATGCCTTCTCCGGATACAACTAGATAAAGATGCACCTCGAAGATGAAGAGAATACCTCATTCATCACCAAACATGGCACTTACAAGGTGATGCCCTTTGGACTTAAAATGCAGGAGCTACCTACCAATGCCTTGTGAACAAAGTGTTTAAGGATCAGATGGGGAGGAATGTTCAGGCCTATGTAGATGATATGGTGGTGAAGAGCCTGAAAGCCGAGGCCCACACCTCAGACCTGGCCGAGGCCTTCGACACTTTGCGAAGGTTTAATATGAAGTTGAACCCCAACAAGTGTGATTTCGGCGTCACTTTGGGCAAGTTTTTAGGCTTCATCATCACTCAACGCGGTATCGAGGCCAACCCTGAGAAAATACAGGCCATACTGGACATGGTACCTCCTTGGTCAGTGAAGGAAACCCAGAAGCTCACCGGCCATGTGGAAACGCTCAACCGCTTTATATCAAAATTAGCTAACCGTTGTCTTCCCTTCTTCTGAGTCATCAAGAAACTAAAGGACTTCCAATGGATCAGGGAATGTTAGTGAGCTTTCGATGAACTCAAGGAGTATCTCGCCTCGCCTCCCCTCCCCTCTTGGCCTGCCCGGTACCAGAGAAACTCTATACCTTTACCTGTCAGCCAGGGACGAAACGGTCAGCTTAGTCCTGATTAGATATGACAGAGCACAGAAACCGGTATACTATATGATAGGTCCCAGTCAAAGCTAGAGAGAGATAGAGTATTCTACTTAGGGTGAGAATAAGACCACAAGAGTTTATTAACTTTCAACTGCCCCATCCATGTGGTGGGGTGGTGTTTAAATACAAAAACTTCTAACTTCCTACCACTAACATAGCTACTGATTAAGGGATTAGCTTCTCTAGTAGTTAGCCTATCCCTAAGCCATAGGAACATAACTACTTAACCACTAACAACTTGACATATTCTTAAGTAATAACTACTTAACCAAATTGACTACTTCCTAAGGCCAACACATTGGCTTTATTGACCTATTCCTACGTATAAGTTACAAGGAAATAGAATAGAAATAAACTAACAAGAAAATGAAGAGAAATGGGAGGAAATYTGCTGCTCTTCTCCCTACGCCACGTCACACACCTGCATGGGCCATGCGTCTATCATTGCCCTCGTCTTTCAGAGGGACCTTGTCCTCAAGGTCCAATTTGATGTATCTGTTCCATAGCTTGTCGAAGGTTGGTTTGAGCTCCCTCTTCGTCATCTGTCTCGCTTTCGTCATAATTTCCTTCAAGCAACAGCAACTGCGGTCCTTTGCATTTGTGCCCCGGTACAAATTTCTCATTGCAATTAAAACAAAGGCCTTGAGCACGCCTCCTTTGCATCTCCATCCAAGTGAGTCGTTTCATTGGTGAAGCAAACTTCAGTTTCATTGGAGAAGAGTCGATAGTGGTCCTATTGAATGGACATGTAGCCTTCTCTTGACGGTTTAGTTGCTCGTCTCGCATCCGTGCAAGGCTGATAGCTTCTTTCAGCGACCTTGGTTTGAACATTCGGATGCCATCAACTATGTCTAGTTTGAGGCCTCTCATGAACATCCCGACTAAGGCTTTTTGCGTCCAACCTTGTACCCAGTTGCCTAGCCGCTCGAACTCTTTTTGATAGTCACGTAAGGAGCCTACCTGTTGGATTTTTGACAATGCTTCGTCAAAATCCTCACAATCGGTAGGACCAAATCTTGCCCAAAGTTCCTCCTGAAACATCTCCCATGTCACCTCCTTGCCTTCTTCCTTATAGGATCTGCGTAACCATTGCCACCATTGGTTAGCCTCTCCTTCCAAATGGAAAGAGGCCAAGGACACCTTGTGAGATTCAAGGGTGCCTTGATATTCAAAAAATTGGTTCACTCTTGTGAACCATTCGATCGGGTCATCTCCGACAAACCGAGGAAACTCCAACTTGGCTAATTTGGAAGAGAACAGTTGTCGTCCCACTTCGGAGTTGTCTCAAGATTCTTCTCTCACGTTGCGAGAACGTCCCCTAGGAGAGTTTGCCTTAAGCTCGAATCTGTTGTTGGTCGATGCAGCTTGGTTGGAGAGTAGGGCTTTCGATAATTTGTTGATGGCATCTTCCAACTGATGAAACTTTTCAGCTGCGCCCACCTCCATACGACTAAAGTTGTCTTGGAGTCCTCCAAGTCCAGCTCTAAGCTCTCAATTCTTTCCTTGTTAGTTGCCATGGTGCCTAGCTCTGATACCAATGATAGGTCCCGATCAAAGCTAGAGAGAAATAGAGTATTCTGCTTAGGGTGAGAATAAGACCACAAGAGTTAATTAACTTTCAACTGCCCCATCCATGTGGTGGGATGGTGTTTAAATACAAAAACTTCTAACTTCCTACCACTAACATAGCCACTGATTAAGGGATTATCTTCTCTAGTAGTTAGCATATCCCTAAGCCATAGGAACATAACTACTTAACCACTAACAACTTGACATATTCTTAAGTAATAACTACTTAACCAAATTGACTACTTCCTAAGGGCAACACCTTGGCTTTATTGACCTATTCCTACGTATAGGTTACAAGAAAATAGAACAGAAATAAACTAACAAGAAAATGAAGAGAAAATGGAGTAAATTTGCTGCTCTTCTCCCTACGCCACGTCACACACCTGCATGGGCCATGCATCGATCACTATGTCAGCAAAGTATTGTGCGACGCCGAAACCAGATATCCCGAAGCAGAGAAGTTGGCCTTTTCTCTCATGGTTTTAGCCCGAAATCTTAAGCCTTACTTCCAAGCTCACTCCATTATGGTGTTTACAAACCAGCCCCTCAGAGCTGTCCTCGCCAGGCCCGAGACCTCAGGGCACCTAATCAAATGAGCCATAGAACTTTTTGAATTTGACATACGATACCAATCGAGGCCCGCCATCAAAGCACAAGCCCTCACAGATTTCATGATAGAGTGCACCTTCAATCGAGCTCTCCCTCGGGCCTCGAAAGACAAATAAAGAAATGAGCACTCTGCCGGAGATGCCCCTCCTGCTTGGAAGTTTTTTGTGGACGGGTCATCCAATACCAAAGGAAGAGGCGCTGGCCTTATCCTTCTCACCCCGGATAACTCAACCATCGAATATACATTGAGATTCGACTTTCCGGCATCCAACAACAAAGTCGAGTACGAGGCCCTCCTCGCTAGACTACAACTGGCCAAGGACCTCGGCTCGTCATACATCGAAGCCTTCAACGACTCCCAACTGGTGGTCAACCAGGTGAACGATGAGTACGAAACCAGAGAACAAAACATGTCTAAGTACCTCGCCAAAGTCCAAGAACTAGCCCGCCACTTCCAGCACTTTACCATGTAGCAAGTCCCACGAACGAAAAATGCGAGGGCTGATGCCCTGTCCAAGTTGGCAAGCACCTCGGGCACGGTCCTCAACTGTACCGTTTGTGTAGAGAACCTATCTCAGTCGACCATTGAAAAAACTCAAGTACTACCAATAGGGGCTGAGACATCATGAATGGACCCTATCATCAACTTCCTCCTTACATATCGGTTGCCCGATGACAGGAACGAGGCTAGACGACTCCGACGTCAAGCAGCCCACTATACGTTGCTCGAAGGAAAGCTGTATAGAAGGTCCTTCACCCTGCCCTACCTCCGATTCCTTCGCCCCGAGGAGGGTGGGTACATGCTCAGGGAAATTCATGAAGGCATCTGCGGAAACCACCTCAGCGGTAGGGCCCTCGCCCAAAAGACATTGAGGCAGTGATATTTTTGGCCAACACTTCACAAAGACGAAGCCGAACTTGTGCGAAGATGTGATCAATGCCAAAGGCACGCCAACATATGCCATCAGCCTGCGATAACTCTCTCAGCCCTTAGCAGCCCTTAACCCTTCGCTAAATGGGGAATGGACCTCCTTAGCCCTTTCCCACAAGCGATGGGGGGCAAGAAGTACCTCGTTGTCGCTGTGGACTACTTCACGAAGTGGGCCAAAGCCGAGCCCTTAGCCACTATCACGGCTTGGGCAATACAAAACTTCTTCTAGAAAAACATCATCTATCGCTTCGCCCTCCCCCACATTCTAGTCATCGACAACAAGAAGCAGTTCGATGACGCCAAATTCTAGGAATGGTGTGCCTCCTGAAGGGATGAGAGATCCCTCATATGGATAGCCGAACCTTGTAGGTAGGTTGGGCGAAATTTTAAAAATTTCTCTCTCCCATGTGGGAATCACATTTCCTATTTTAGAAAATTACATTTTCAATGATCAATCTTGAACCCAAACCGAACTAGATCTAAAACCAAAAGGTAGGAGAGGGATATACCTAATACGGACTAGTAGTAACCCCCAACGAAAGTGTTCACGCCCAAGGAGAATACCAAAGACTGTTCCCACTGAAGATGACACAGCGTAGGGTGGAGCAGAATCAACAGGATGGTTCTTCAGCAAGAACCGAATTCTTCAGCAAGAACTCGACGGAGGGCAGGTGAGCACAGCTTCTGATTATCTTTTCTCCCAAAAGATAATATCAAGAACTCTTCTTGATCGCTCCTATAGGTGGAGATTGAACTAGCAGATGCGACAAGAGCAGGAAAGGGTAGAAATCTGAAGTAGTCGAACTGCAAGATTTCTTTCTTGTGATCTGCGAACCAGAAGATCTCTCTTCTTTTCTATGTGTCTTTGGTTCGCCCCTTGCTGCTCTATTTAAAGCCTTTAAAGGGAGCATCTCCTAATCCCATTAGGAGTTTCCTAATCCAAATCTTGTATTTGGATCTGGACTCTTTTTAAGAGATAAGGATAATCCCTTATCTTATCTGCAGATAAAGATCAGCCCTCCTAATCTGATTAGGAGTTTCCTAATCCAAATCTCTATTTGGATCTGGACTCTCTGGGTGGATAGGGACAATCCTTTATCCTATCTGTTGATCTAAATCCCAGAACCGCCCCTCTTTAATTAATCTTATTAAGCCAGTTCGAGTTAGGCTTTAGGCCCATTAAGTCAATTTGCTCACTTACCCTCCTATTTGTTGCCTAGTTGGATATCCTTATGTGGCGTGGGACCCAAACATTGATCTACACATCAACCACATGGGTTCAGCCTAGCCTCTATTACAAGGCATGGCCGAATTCACTGTAGGAAACAGTGAACCCCTGAGTCCATCACCATGGGCTCTTATTGGGCCCAACATTTACACTAAATGGTCCTTGGGTCAAACCACCTTATAAAAACCCAAGGACTGTGAGCAGATGCAAGATTAGCCCATCAGGTATTACCCTCAATGGTCTTACACTTAACCTCTCAGCCCATAATGATCAAACACTGCTCGACAAGAGAGGACCGCTCCCTCGGCTGCAAGGTACAGTGTTGCACTTCTTGTACACCTCCACCGCTCGGACGCTGCTTTCTTTGATTGCTCTGCCGAGGCCATGGATTCAGCAGCCTCCTTTGCCTCGGCAGCCTTCTTCTCGGCCTTGGCTGCCCGTCTCTCCACTTCAATGACAATTCTCTCCAGTCAGACCTACTCCATCTGCTCCTTGGAGAGTCCTTGCCACGCCTCCTTCAGTTGAATCTCGAGGCGCTCCCAAACTGATTGCTTGTCCAAGAACGCCTTTTGGAACTTCTAGTATTTGTCCTCGGCGGCGACAACTACCTTCTAGAACTTCTCCCGTTCCTTCTGGAGCTTCTCCTCGACAGAATTATTTTCTTTCTCCGCCTTGTCAATACGAGACATGGCCAGCCTCATTCGGTCCCCCAAACCGACAAAATGCAGACAGACTTGCAACAAAACCAGTTAGCAAATGAAAGGGTCGGGAGAGAAGGAAACACAAAGCCGAAAAGCATCTTACCTTAGCCAAGTGGTACAAGCCCCCGACAGGATGGCCCCGCTCACCAGCTCCTAGCTGACCCCCTCATCCTAAATGGAGTCCCCCTCTCGGAGCTGCCAATGCGGGCGGAAGATCTTTTCGGCCCCCTCGACTCTCTCGGGGAGCCCCTATACTAATGGAGGGGCTGATGAAGGCCCGGTTGGGCGCTCCTCGAGCGTGGACCTCTGCACCACCTCCTCAACTTGTCTCTCTGTATTGGCCACCTTCCACGGCAGCTCCTTTCTCGGCGTATCTACTGTGGGCCTCTTCTTACTCGCCTCGGGCCCGTTTGTGGGCTTCTTCGGCGCCTTGGTCCCGGTGGCTGGCTTCTTCAGTGCCTCTATCAGCTTTTTGGCCCCTTCCGAAGGCCTCTTCACCCCACTAGTGACTTCCTGGGGTGCCACCACTGGCTGCTTCCCCTTAGTGGGGACTTGCAGATTTCCCCCCTTCGCCGAGGTAGGGGCAACTTCATCGCCGGGCCGCTTTGGCGTTTGTCCCCCGGCTTTCTTCCTGACCTGCTTCACCCGGGCCTTCTCCAGCAAACGTTGCTTGGCGTCCATGGGCACTTCTACAAAACAGCAAAAGAAAACAGTTAGTACATTAAAGCGAAAAACGTGGAAGACGTACTAAGTAACCACAAAACCTCTCCTACTGAGGGGGGCTGGGCTAATCCCAGTGAAGACTAGGGGGACCTCCTCCACCAACGGCTTTGCCTGGAATGTCCTCATCACAAGCAGGTGAGCTACAACTGCAGCCTCTTTGTCTCGGAGTGGTGGGGGACATCTCTCGACGATGACGCAGGCCTCCCCCCAATCAGACCTGAACCACCATCCCTCGGGGCAGGAGACGTAGAAGAATTTGTCCTTCCACTCGTGGACGGACGAGGGGTTATGCACAGGCTTCCCCCTCCGAGGGTGGAAGTAATACATGTTGGCCTCGGAACTGCTTCCTCGGAACGAGCATGACACGGAACATCTTCAACGTCAACTCCACACCCCTGAGCCGAGCCCACACTATCGCTACGATGGTCCTAAGGGCGTTGGGTACGAGTTGGCTGATAGTGATACCGTACCACTCCAGCAACTTGGAGATTAAAGAAGGGAGGGGAAACCTAAGGCTAGACTCGAAAAAATGCTGGTAGACACAGATTTCCCCCTCCTCAAGGGTCCATGGCCAACTACCCACATTGGGGACCCTCAGGTCATAAGACTGGGGTATGTGGAAACTCCTCGCCAGGGATTTGACCTGGCCCACGTCCAAGGAGCTGTCAAAGTCCGAATGTGGAACACTAGCGTCAGCCACCCTTCGGGCAGCACTCCCTCTCACCAATCCGGCGACGACTTCCACGACATCCTCCTCGGAGAGAGGAGACCCTTCGGGCTCCCTCGCCGACGCCGATGTGGCGCTTTCATGGGGAGAATTATTCCCCCGGTGGCTATCCTCAGCACCCCCCGAGGCTAACCTTTCCCTCAGTACGGCCACCTCCTGCCAAAGGGAGGCTATGGCTAAGGAACCTAGAGAAGACAGAGGGGAAGGGGTTGTAGGGGAGCTCCCTTCCGAGATGTTCGGGGATTCATGGCATTCAAGGCCGGAGGCTAAAAACGACATAGTCGATTACCTAAGTGAAGACGAAATGTCCTGAAGAGTGGAGGAACTGGGAAAGTCCTAGAGGATTGAGAGTTGGGGAGCTGAGTTCACTCGATAGCAAGGGCGTCTAAATTCAAATGAAGGGGAAAGTCACCACCAGGGTCCCTATTTAAAGGAAAATGGATCGCCTGGATCTCTCTGAATCCGACGGCTAAGACATCTCCACTTCCACCATCCAACTACAATGCGCCACCCGACGCTTGTCCTTGAAAGGAGAAACGACACCCAAGCAACGGTTCAAATCAACACAGATCCGATGGTCACAGGAGCCCTCCACTTCTGCAAACCAGTTCTACCGCACCTTCTAGTGAATGCCCTCAGAAGACGAAATGACGTCGGGTGGACCGCAAGGCTGGCCATGGCAGCCCACCGAGCGAACTGTAGGGCCCGTCCATTGTGAACCACTGGGCGGACCGCTCAACCCGACAAACGCACGCCTACTGGAACCATCCCCCGCACGGTAGCCCCTTAATGGGACCTGACCGTGCGTGATATGGGACACCTCCACCAAATCGAGGCATCCACACCACACGCGCTTCCGAATCGAAGGACTACACAGTGAAAACGACACCACTGCAAGACACACCTTGGTTGACGAATCCGAAGGCATAGTGACACCTACTCCCAAAGACCGAAGCCGAAGCCTTACCTCAACTATTACCCTCATTACCAGCCAAAGCCAAGGCCTCACCTCGACCTCGAGAGTGGGGGGCAAATGATGTGGGTTAGCTAGGCCCAGCCCACTAACATTTGACAGCGTCAGGCATATCAGGGGGGAAGCCCTACTGCCTTCGTATGGAGCCAACCGTAGGATGGTCAGATGTACCCACTAGGGTCTGCCGCCTAACCTCGTACGACCCTCATCTAGTGCATTCATCTTCACCTACCTCCAGTCCGCTCAAGTATAAATAAGAGGTAACTCCCCCTTAATGGGGAATCAGAACTTGGGATTCTGACATAGCTCCCTCATTTACTTTCTGCACCTACCTTGTTTCCTTAGCATTTACTCTTGGAGACCCGGTGTATCCGAGGACTGTCACCAAGACCTCGTCTGCACCCCCTCCTACTTTACACCTCGTATTGACTTGAGCGTCGAAGCTTCCGCTTTGGGTCTCCACTTGAGGCCTCTGACACTTCTTGTTTTATAGTACCTCGGATCTCCAAGAACCTCGCCACCGGAGTGGCGACTCACAGTCCTTGGCTTCTACGGTCCTCGAAAGGAATACCTTGCCTCGGCCTAAGGTCTTCGGCCTCGTCTCACCTCTTTCGAGGCCTCTAAGTCTTCAGCCTATCCTCGGAACTTGGAGAGTGAATTTACCTCGTTGCCCCCGACTAATCCATGCGGCAACAAGAACTATTTTATTTGATCCTAAATCTCCACCCTATCGTCGTGGTTAATCTCTCAGGGGAGATTTTTTGTTGTTCTCCTGTTTGTTTTTTTTTATGAGTAATTTTCTTTTTGTTCTTTTAATGAATTGTTTATTTAAAAAAAAAAGTTCTAATGTAGTGGAGTAGAGCATGGTTCAAAGTATCGATACGATACGGGACATATCGTATCGTATCGTATCTTTTGAAAAAGATACGGTCCAAAACGCTTGTTTGCAGGTGTTTCAAACCCCCAATTTTTTTAATAATAAAAAACATGCTAAAAACTTCCCAAAAAACCAAAATGTGAAAAAAACCTAAAAAAAAAAGTTTCAGCCGTTTCTAAGTACCGATACGATACGATCTGTACTTTGAACCTGGGAGTAGAGATAGACCAGTGGCTAATTTTGTATCCCCATTTACTCGATATGACTTGAGCTGTTATTAATGATATCCCCATGTTTTTAGCGCTAATGGAACTACTAGTCAAAGAAACTGGCAAGCGGATACGACTAGTTAAATGACTCAAATCCAACATCAACCCGTACCGAGTGCTTTACTAAAGTCAATTGAAAAATGAAAACTGTGTATCTGAAAAACTGAAATAAAATTCAACCACTAAGCAACAAAATATGAATGAACTGATATTTCACATACAGTATCGTGATCGTCAAAGCTTAAGACTCTTTAGTTATAATCGGTCACAAGGACGAAATGTCAGTTACAAATTCTTTACCACAGACAGGGCTTATCCATACACAACGCCGTATGAACTGACATTTCACAGATGGTACCGTGAAAACTTAGAACTATTTTCGGTTTGAATCAGTTGTGAAGAACAAAATGCCGAACTGATACAAATACAAAATGACTGCCTACTTGAGCCCTCCAATGCCACTTGTTCATGCATAAATCAATCTCTCCAGCGATGGCCACAGTTAGGGTTGCAGCAAACAAAAAACAGTGTCATACCTTCCTCACCTCTAGATGTAGCCTGAATATACATAGAATTATAAAATTAGCAACGCAAATAGATATTTATAGGGAAAATTTCCGATTAGTACCTTGTACTTTGGGCCTAGTGCCACTTTGGTCCCCAAATTTTAAAATGCGACAATTCAGTACCCAAATTTTAAAAACATGATAATTCAGTACCTGCTGCTAACTTGCTGATAACCAGCCATTAAGTAGCATTTGAAAAAAACACAAATGCCCTTCAAGTGTCATCTAATTTTCTTTATCAACCATCCAAACATTGACAAATGATTGATTAAAAACACTTGAAGGGCATTTGTGTCTCTTTCAAATGCCATTTAACGGCTGATTAACAACTATTTAACGGCAGGTACTGGATTGTCACACTTTAAAAGTTTGGGTACTGAATTGTCTCATTTTAAAGTTTGAGAACCAAAGTGGCACTAGGCCCAAAGTACAGGGTATTAATCGGGAGTTTTCCCTAAAATATAGCATTTTAGGTGTAGTGCAGAAACATGTAAACCCACATTAAAGAACTCTTGTATTACAAAATATTTAAATAAATCTTTTATCAAGAAAAAATATTTAAATAAATCAAGTGCCAATATAAAACAAAATGGATAAAACAAGCTGTTGCATCTAAATTCTTAGGTTTAGAGAGGTCGTACAACATTTTTAGCAGATCAAATCGGCTCGCACTTGAAATTTTATGTTGGTACAGGTTTACTAATAAGGTCGTCTAGCTGAGGAGACTTTGCTAAATAATTCTTGGTGCTCCCACGATCAAAAAATGTTGCCTTTTTGCTAGTAAGGCTCAGTTTTGAAAGAGTACAAATACAAATACGTAGAGTGCAAAACCTTGTATCTGCATATATTTGTATTTGTACTCTTCCCAAACTGAGCCTAAGGTTGTCTAGCTGTGGAGACGGGCAAGTTGATAAAATTCCATGGAAACATTCCTGCTGTACTTACAAGCAAAAAATAGTTTCCTTTTTGCTCCCAGAACTAGAAACAATTCCATTAAAATGCTACCAAGCACTGCCTAAATATTATAACCTAGGTATCTTCCACATTATGATATGGTTGGCAGATGGGATCCCAACAAGACTTTCTTTGGGGGCATTTTTCAAAAAAAAAATCTATTGAAACTTTGGATGGCTGTTATAACTTAGGGAAGACGCTAATACAAGATGGCATAAGTTTGACTAGGGAAGTGAACATGAACTATTAGAAAGTCCTATGCAGTAGTAGAATGTGAGGCTGTCAATAGAGAACAGTATGCTAGTCCGGTCATTCACTGGAATCTAAACCAAGGAAACTTCCGCATGGCTAGTATGTTTAGTGCTCAAAAGGACCCCCTCAGTTCTTGACATTTTTTCCCCCACCCCCCAACACAAAACACAAAGAAAAGAAGCCTAATTCCATGAAAAGATTCAGTCCAAAAACCAACCCCATGTGTTCTAGATAAGCTCTGTTTTATGGGAAACTTTCAATTAAAAAAAAAAAAAGAAAAAGGAAAGGAAATATTAGAGGGCTGTTATTTAGGCTGTATTTGGTTTGTCCTACCTTTTCTTTCAAACCAAACACGACCTAAAAGGAAAAACTCTAATCCAAGATAATGTCCCCAAGTGGAATCCTTCTCTAGTCCCTCCTTATTGGGACCTAGACCTCTCGTAGGTTTTTTTTTTCTTTTTCCTGATAATAGCACTCATGATGAAGTTTAAATAGAGTAGCTGGCATGTGGGTGTTGCCTTAACACCTGGATAGGATGTAATATTTTTATTTTTTTAATGAAATTTTATTTTATTTTTACTATAAAAAAAGTCTAAATAGAGAAGTAGATAGCCAGACTCGGCTAAGGGGAGTACAACCGACAAGTATATCGACAAGGACTCAAGAAGCAGTCAATACTCAAGGAATGCATTCAAATAAAAGCTGTGAAGTGGATCAAAATTTTAAAGCTCTTTGAAGCTTTTTCTACTGAAGACCTGCTTAGTGGAGTGTGATAGTGAATATTCTTACACATAGGACTACAGTCTCTTCCCATTGAGTCCCACCAATAATAGGAGAGGTTAAACTAAACATTGCAAGGTGCAGCTTGGTAAAGGAAACTTGTTGTGGAGGGGGACTCGAAAGTGGTTGTGAAATGGCTGCAACACAAAACAAGGTCCATGGCATGTTGGGACTACTTGAAGGAGATGAGAGCCTTAGTGAGTTAGTGTCAGAACTAAATGCAAGTTTTATATGGACCTACAGATCAGCAAATGTGTTAGCTAATGCCATGACCAGATAAAGGGTGAACAGGGTTTAGATGTTTTGTGGTAACATGCTGTTTTGGAATGGTAGAATACTGATATGTTTCATTCTATTGCCAATGGGCATATTTATACAGTAGGCTACTGCAATAAATAGAAAGAAAAGAAAATAGAAAGAAGAAAAAATAGAAAGAAGAAAAAATAGAAAKAAGAGAAAATAGAAAGTACAAAAATAGAAAGAAAGAAATAGAAAGAAAAAACTTTCTAAATCAATCATTCCACAATCCTAGGAATATATACAATTCTATTTTCATATCTGAACCAGTAACCCCATGTTTTCCAACACTCCCCCTCAAGCTGATGAATAGAGATCCTCCATTCCCAGCTTGGCTATAATT